ATAAAAATTAAAACTAATCAAACTTGTGTTTACTTAGAACGTAAATTAAGGTTTACTTTTACTAATCAATATGTGTAAGCAAATCTAAATATTCGATGCATACCCCTAATTGTCCACCTGGTTGAGTCATTAATTGTGATTGAATCACTCACTTTTCATCTTTGTAATGATGCAATCGGTCCGAAGGAAAGACGTGTTTTCGTTGGTTTACTCACTCTGGACTCTAGACATTTTTTGGAGAGAATTTTTGGAAGAATATTTTTCCTCGATTTTTTTTAAACAAATATTTTCCTGGAATGATGGAAAATAATATTTTTGGAATACGATTTTTCTTTGTGAATATGTTTATGTTGTGAAAACTTTGATGAATCTTTGTGCTGAACTAAAACTCTCTCTAATATTTCAAATTGATGATGAGAAGGTAATTTTCGATAAATTATAAAACATGAGGACATTAAAATCAAAATAGAGAACAAACTTTTGAAAAGTTCTTTGTAATAAGAAAAACCGTGCACTTATATATCAGTTTTATCAAAAGAGCGTGATTGTTAAATGACCTTAAATCAGATATTTGTATTGTAATAAAACAAATTACCTATATTTCTCCTTGCTTACAACTATGATTACAACATCATTGGTTCAAAATTACCTATATTTCTCCTTGATTTTAGCAACATTCACTATCAAATCCCAGTCACCAAATTGATTTTAGTAATATTCACTATCAAATCCCAGTCATCAATGTCAGTTTTGCATAGAATCATCCAGTCTGACCTGGAATCAATCACCCAGTTCCGATTCTACATATATATCGGAAAATATTTGAGTCTAGAAGGGAATCAGTGGTTCCACACATTAATTCAGCGATTCTCTACAGTAAAACAACAATCCAAACCTATCGATTCACCGCTCCGAACTAGATTTTGAGGTGCTTGATCTGGATCACTAATCCGTTTTTTAAATTACTGAAAATTACCTAAATATCTTTTTTATTTTAGCAATATTCACCTTCAAATCCCATTCACCAAACTAATCATTTAAATCGGTTCTTGGATCATAGTCTGACACCGAAGTATTAACATTGGACTCAAATAATTGCACGGGAGCTGAAATTTTGGTTCCCCCAAGTTGGAAAAATCCAAAATAAATCGAAATCCAAAATGCGTTATTAATTCAATAACGCACATTTTGAATCAGCCAAGGGAACAGCCGAACCCAGTTGGGGCAGTACAAACTCAAACCAAGCCAACCCAACCCAACCCAAAAGCCATTCAAAAATCCAAACAAGGTCAAGAAAAGGATTTTTTTTAAGAAGGAAAAAGTTTATATAATAATGCAACCTTATAATGTAGAACTACGGATACACCTCAAAAATCTATTGAAAAAGGTAGTTTTAATATTGAAAAACCCTTTGGTTGATCATTTGGACATTGAGATATATGACCATGAAAAATAAAAAGATTTTAAGTCTCATAAATAGTGTATTTTACAAACAGTCTTTTTTCAATATTTTTATATTTTATAGATCTATTTGATTTGAACTATTTTTAAAATTTAAAATTTTATAATTAAATATAAAAATAGATTTTGAGATTATCAAAACCGTCCCTTTTTCAAGATTTTCACGTTTATATATCATGATAAAATTTGAAGGTCCACTTTACCTGTACAGCTACGGATGGATCCAAGTGCACCCTTTTAAGAAATAAGCCTTCATGATGCGTTTTCTAGGAAATTGGGCCTCCTGAATCTTTATTTTTGTCCTTTGCCTTTCTTATAACCTGTGACTTTTCAGATCGATAAATGACCTATACTTGGGTGCCTCCTACTTTCTCACTCTAAGCTTAAATCATTCTCTCTCTCACTAGGTTTTAAAACAAACTCTCACAAAAAAAGTAAGAATAAGCCAATCCCATATTTGACTAGCCACTTTAACCCAAAAAAAAAAAACCAAATTATCATATATAACCCATAAATTTCTCTACAAGTTAGATATATCAAAAGTTCTCATTTAATACACCTATATGTGCGTTGTACGTGTACTAACTATTAATCACTAAAATAAGTTTTTAATCTTAAATTGGAAGATTTGATGATAAAGAGAGTAGTAGAAATAGAGAAAATTTACTAGATCCATCTGCACATGTTGACTTCTATTAGATAATAATTTTTTATATTTTAATTCAATTATTTTCTAACCCACTCTAAAAATATTATTAATCATATTAGTAATTAGTAAATTTATTATTAACTTATAGTAAATATTATTCAAGAGAATTAGAAAAATAAAAATACAAAAATATTGTGATTATAATTCTACTTATGACTTGTATTATGAGGTAATTATTTTCCCATTACCTCTAGAAAGTGGTGATCATATATGTTTACTAGTTAATAATTAGATGATAAATTCTAAAGCATACGCTATCTCTCTCAAAGTGATGACTAATACATCTCTCTATAAATAACCAAAATATCTCTCTCCAAGTTTATAGATGTAGATTGACAATTAATATATCCCTCTCTCTATCTCTCTAAGATTATGTATGTTGCATAATCATAAGTAACAAAGTTTATGGATAGTTGCCATATCTAACAATTATATCTAGAAAATGCTAAAAGAAATAGAAAATGCAAAGAACATCAAATACGGAAAAACAGTAAAATTCAATAAAATGAAATAACTAATACTCTATTTTTGTAATTTATTTTCCTTGTTTTGTCCAATTTCCTGAATATAAGAAAAAATAAAATAAAAAAAAAGCTAATAACAAAAAGAAATATATAGAGGACAGCTCAAAAATCAACAAAACCTTACCGGTCAATATTGTGATGGAACTTCAAGAACCATCAAAATGAATATAGGGTTTTGCTTAGAGAGATAATATTGGGGAGTATAAAGTATAGAGATAGAGAGGATGAGTGAGGGTAGAAAATACAGGAAGAGAGAGTGGAAAGAGAATGCAGGAAGAGTAGGTAGAGAGAGAAAATGGGTGAGGGTATAGAGATGATGAGAGAATAAGGGAGAGTACGGAGACTACAATGCACAATTAAATTAGAGTTTATTTCAAAAATTTCATGGTAAGAGATTGTTTTAATGTTCAAATATTTTCAAATTGATCATCTCGACATCAAGATGTATAGACATGAGAAAGAATAGATTTTGAGTTTTGAAAATAGTGTATTTTGTAATAAATTTTTGAACGGTCAATTTTCAAAACTTTTAAGTTTTCATAGATATGTCGATCTAAACTATTTTTTTAAGCTTTAAACTTTATAAATAAATGTGAAAATATATTTTAAAGCTATCATAAAGATTTTCAATATTGAAACCATATTTCTTGACACCATTTGAATGTAGGCTCTAATTTGATTATTTAGAGCCTAGGCTCTATACAAACCGCACCCTTGTTAATAGAGGGGTTCCACAACTATTCCCGGAGTGGTTTTACAAACGTTGACAGGGAGATTTGATGGCACTTCTATGAGAGACCCGGGAATAGAGAGGAAGAAGAGTGAAGAAATAACGGAGAGAAATGACGTGTTGGAAGAAAGAGAGATTTTAGGAATGTGAGATTCATGACACGCACCTTTTGAAAAATTTAGGGGTATGAGGGAACGTGGTTAGTGAAAAGAAAGAAGAGATAGATAAGAATGCGATTTTTATGGATAGAGAAACAAATAATGCGATTTTTATGGAAAGAGAAACGCCACCTATTAAATGATGTTTATGGAAGGGAAGAAATATAGAGAGTTTTTAGAAGTTTGAGAGATTTAAGGAGTTGGAACCTTTGACTTCGAAGTTTTTTTAAAAAAGAGATAATTGTTGACGGTTTTCTAAAAAGAGAAAAAAGAAGGAGAGGGATACATGTTATAAAAATAAAGCTTCTCGCTTAAAAGATATCCGTATTTTATAAATTTTTATAAATAATATTTTTTATAAATCGGTAAACGCTAACCAATTAAACCTGTGTTTTCTTCTTAAAAAAAAAGTGGTATGTCAATAAGGATTTGAGCCCCTACCTTTTAATGAAAATAGAATCGGATATCTGACCATCGGTTAGGCAATACTACCGTCACGGCCTAAGCCATTTTAAAAAATAAAAAGCAAGATAACATAAGACCCCTCGTAAATTTTGAGAAAATACGAGTAATCCACAAATATTTTCCAGTTTTTCAATAAAATTTCCCAATTTCAAATCCAAATTCACCGATGAATTTTGGAAGGCGCCCTTTGAACGATGCATCTACCAGGGGATAACGAGCACATCAAATAGTAGACGTTTTATTCCGCGTTCCATGACCGTTAAATTAGGTGAAGTATAATATCGTCACTTAATAACGCCACTATTTTAACATAACGTCCGTGATCTTAACCCATAATTAAAAAAGGAAAATGGTTTGGTAGGGCTCCTGTTCTATCAAAATAATTAAATTCTCACTTCACTACTCATTGAAAACGACAAATTAAGCATAGAAAAACCTTTACATCCATCTCGACTTGATTATTATAGTAGTGAAAAAAAATTAGGATTTCAAGATTTCAATGCAGTATGTATTGTAATAAACTATTTAGACTGTTTATTTTATTTTAAAAATAATTGTTCCCGGATCCATAATATCAGTATATTTTTTTACTTTCGAATTTTATCACCTTGAAAATTAATTTTAGAGTTATCATAAAGATTTCCGTCTCCGAAATTACCTTCGTACAACGAGGATTTGAGGTGAAGTTTCATTTTTTTTTCATGAAGCCTCGGCCTTATAATAACCTCGTCCATTAAAAAATCGAGTAAAAGGAGGAGGAGAAAGAGGCTCCAGCTAGGACATGGAATCGTGGGCTCAGCCGACGGCTTCATCAGCGACGCCACGTCAGCACGGACCCCACGCTACATCAAAGTCATCCATATCCATCAATGCCCTATTTATATTACCGCCCCCTTTATTTTCAATAATATCTGTTTCACCCCGCCTCTTTCTCTCCGTAAAATAATAACCAGAAGTCTGTCTCTCTCAAATAAGCAGAAGAGAGAAGCAACGAGCGCAAGTGGGAGTGTAGTTGAGCTCTCCGCTCCTTTCTTGGTGAGCGATCGCAAGGTGGACTCTACTAAGCTCTCTCTAACCATACTTAGATTTTAACCATATACACTGGTTTAAGTTCTGAGGCCTGTTCTGGTAATGGTGCTCTCCTAAAAGCTCTATCTCTCTACGTTCTTCTTTGAATTTGATTCTCTCTCCACTTTTGTTCTTTTTTTTTTGGTGAACTCTGCTTTCTATTAAAAAGTCTTTTCTCTCTCTCTCTC